CACTACTCCAAAAACTGAAATCCGAAACTAATCTGGGTTCTCAAATATTTCTTGCTTTATTAATATTATTGTACTCGCATTGTCAATTCCTATGTGTGATTTGTAGGTTGTGAGAATGATCATCAGGTTTACCAAGGATATCAGCGTTCCTGTTCTCCCTACTCCTGCACTAGAATATTGAAAATGAATATTAAATTACCTGCAGTGAAATACTACTTTCTAATCATTCAAGACCTTGTCCAAAATTTGATTAATCAATTCCATTATTATATTGAAGTCGTTATGATTGGGCACTCCTTAATCTGGCCATCCACACCATTATAAATGAATTATTTATTTTTCTTCTCCATTTTGTTCTTACATTTACAGAGTCCTTTTTATTATATTGTTTCCCAAATCTTCTTAACTAACGAAATTTATAGTAATATTTCCTACAAGTAAACTCTCTCCTATATTTCTAGGCCAGTATTACTCACATTACACCTTTCATAATTTCAACACTTCAATTACCTTTCCATTTTCTTTTAGATTACAAAGCATTACAATGCTTTATATATTTTCTTAAGAAATCATCCTCCAAAAATGTCCTATTGTTTAGGTCACTGGACCTTAAGTGGCTATCATCATTTTCTCCTTTCCATTTATTAGCTAACATCTTCAATCATTTCTTTACATTAATGTAATCAGCATTTATATATGATTCCTTTTAGTTCTCTTCTTCATCGCATTTCAACTTGACTATTGAATGTTTAACTATGATAACTTTTAATGATACAAGGTAAGATGTTGCCATATCGGTTTAACTTCAAAATGTCAGGGTGAAAATCATATAGGTTTTCATTGTGGTATTAGGTTTCTGTAAGACGTCTTAAAATCTAAGATTTGATCATTTATGCTTTACTCTGAATTCCATTTCTTAATCTCGATTCTGACTTTACTCAGTGAACTCGGCTATTGAAATTCCTTTTTCCATGTTTATTAAATCATCATTCCCAACTACCCATTCATAAGAGTAATCTTGGTTAATTTCTTTACCTTCAACTTATAAATTTTAGAGCATATTATTTAATTTTTATGATAAACTTATTATAAATTGAAACAAAATACATATTATTATTCATATTCAAACATTTCTGAATTTAGTATTCAACTAACTTAGATAACAAATATTTGATAAATTTCATACGATAATTTATAAATCAATATTTGTTGGTTCTCCTCTCTCCACTTTATTTTCACTCTTAACAATCACAAACCCGATTTGACTTAAGGTGTTTTCTCTCTCTTTTAAGTTCAATTGCATTCTGATAGAATTGTAGTATAGAAAGCTAACTGTGTCTAAGTAAATTTATAGTCTATGTTTTAATTAGGCTTATATCTTTCCTTTTTTTAACTTCTTTTCATTTCTTTGCGTCTTTCCTTCGTATTACTTTTTTAAATTAACAATCTATATTTAGTAATGTTGCATCAAGTAGTGTAGATCAAGTTTTAAATCATCACGTTACTCATCATCTAATTTTGAGAATAGTTGCAAAATTGGGATTGGGTCTACTAAATTTTTCATTTTGATATTAAAATACTGAAATAGTCCAACTTTGATTCCTTCATCTACAAGACTCTCAAAAGATTTGATCTAATCCATTGGCTTTCTTTTGCAATTTTTTTGTTATGAATTGCGATGATGATGAACCTTATGAAAATCACTAATATTTGTATTCCATTTTCGCACATCATTTAAGAACTCTTGTGATAATTTGTCGCTATAGTAGCCAAAGTAATCTAAACTATGAGTTAATTATGCAGGTAATATAAATTATTAAGAAAGCATTGCCAAATCGAATATGGATGCATACTTACAATAAGTTGTTATCCATTTCAAATTAGTGATATCTCTATCTCTATCCTCATTTTCATTTTCATTTTTTAAATTTGATGCTGATTATCTAATCATAATATTAGCATTTTTTAATTTCTTCTACTACTTCAAAATCTCTTAATAAGGACGAAATGTCTCACAAATTTTATAAATAAATGCTGATAAAGGTGTTTAGCAGTTGTTAGAACATAAGGAATAGCCTTCCATTTCAGTCTCTGTTAGGATGGAAATAGCATGATCTAGTATATTTGATCTGTTCATTTCTGATTAATAATTATCATAAAATTCTTTAGAAATTTAATCCTTAATCTCAGTTATCTTGGAAAACTGTTTAGTGAATCCATATATGGTTTTCTCATAAGAGATATCTTAAATAGACTTTTGAATTAGATTTTTGAATAATTAGCGATACTATTTGTCAACCTACAGCTATTCCCTAAATTTAAAATATTTTGTACGAAAATTCAGTTTCTTTGAGAAGAGGTTTTGAAAGGCTTTTGAACGAGCTGCTTTCTTCATCTTATGATGAGTTTGAATTAATCTTGTTGAGTTCCATCTATATTGAGGGTAGCTTCTCCTTAATCGTCTACACAATTTAGGTAAAATGCTAAATTAAAAAATTACCTAGTGATTCCACCCAAGAATTAAGTGGGAAGAAATCGAGCATTTTTAAACTGACATAGTCTTATTTGATCTTGTAGGTTCTCTACCTTACGGTTTGAAGCACAAATATTGATTCATTATTATAGCTGTACCGAATATTGCCAATAGCTAAAGATCATATAAGATTTTACATAGACTTGCATGATATTTGGGACTCCAAGGAACAATAGCAGATCCCATTATTAAATTGGATAAATACATAAAGGGCTTAACATGATCAATTATGCGATCCATAGTATTTAGTTCACATTAATAAGGAAATAAACCTGTTGAAATTATAGTCTTATAAACAATTGACTAGATATCCTATTCATTAAGCTGAATCTAATTTATTTAAAGGACCTTTTTAGTGAGTTCGAACATAGATTCATATTCGATATTATTTATCATCCCAATTAACTGAATTATTTTCTTAAAGGAGGCGTAGCATATCCAATTCAAAGTCTGATCTATTTGTAAACGAATACCAATTTCTGAATATCTGGTTGTATGCACTAATTATCTCAGGATGAAACCCAAAATTTCATTCAATTTATCCTCTTTTTGAAAAGCAATGATGCCCATCAAATCTCTTTCTTTCACAACAAAAAGATAATCATAATCTTGCATTTTAAAAGGATTTGTCCAATTAAACTCATAGTATTCAATTAAATATTTTAGATCGTTTTTTCGATGAACTACTTTGCCAAAGTCGATAAAAACTGATGAAATGCCTTCCAAATCTATTTCTTCAGGTTCCGAATAACTGATTTAAAAAACTTCCCAATCAACTATGTTATCATAATTGGGCCTCATGACTTTTGGGGTCTTGAAAGCAAACCTTTCAATTAATTAAAATTCATCATCGAAGGAAGGTTTAAAGTACATTGGATTTTCTACTCTCAATGGGAATTGTAGTTCCATTCAAATTATATAATAAAAATAATAATATCATATTTAAATTTCGATATTTTAGGGCTAGGTTGAATGGAGCTAATTTAGATCCTTGGCAATCACAAATCCAATTAAGCTTAAAGTATTTTGACGCTGCTTCTAGACGATCTACAAGCGAATAGAATTGAAATAAAAAAAGTAGACTGTATCTAAATAATTTTGAATCTTATGCTTTATTTGTACCTACTTTAACCCCTCCTATTTTAGTTTGATTAACTGATTCTAGAAGAACTACAGTAAATAATGCAGATTAAATTTAGACTTAGCATATTATTTATGATTGCTATTTTAGAATTTTTACAAAAATTCAACTAAATTCTCTTCCTTCAAATTCTCTTGCGAATAAATTGTAGTTCTAGAGCAGTTATCGAATGCCTCGACAAATTCCCTGGCTTCACAATCGTTAAATAGATAGGAATTGGAAAAGCGATAAGGTCGATACTTCCTTTCTATTTGTTGAAATTCTTCTGGATTAAAGTCTATCTTTTGGATGCATGTCAGAAACTATGCAGACAGTTCATCACTGTAAAAGCCAAAGTAATCTAAACTGTATTCTAAAATAGCTGGTTGAATGAACAATTCACCCAGCAATTAAAATTCGTTAATGGATGCAAATTTACAATAGGTTGTCAGATATTAACCCAATAGTTTATTGTCTGTGTCAATGAAGCTACTCTTAGAAGCAAATTAATTGTGTTTAATATTGCGAATATTGAATCCACATTACTAAAGAGATCTCAGGAAGTGACTCTTCTCACATAGCATTTCTTAGTAAGGTCTAAAAGTATCACATAAATGATAGATAAAGGCAGCCACAGGAGTTTAGCAATTATTTGCACAAGTTGAATAACTTCTGAGTTCAGTTTCGGTGATGATAGAACAGAATTAACTCAGGATTCCATTTCTGTTAATTTCAGAAGCGTAATTCACATAGAATTCATTAGCAATTCGATTTTTGACTTAAATAATGAGGGGAGTGTGGATTACAATACCAAAGACTTCTCGAACATTCTCAATTTTCCTTATAGAATTTTTGAGTAGCAATTTGAAGAGTTCTGAACAGTTAGTCAATACATTGAAGCTTTGTTGACTACTGTTGCAGGAGTCTTGAATCAATTCAGTTTCTTTTTGTTCTTCTCTCATTAGTGGTTCTTTTAGATCCAGAATGGAACTGCTGGAATTAGATTTGGAATCATAGGAGTATTTTCTGAAGGATGATTGACTCTATTGTTAGGGCATCTTAGTCTGAATGTAGTTGAGCATAGTTTCTAGGTTTTGAATAAAGAAATTGGAAACTTCTTCGATCCATGAATCGAGGGGGAAGAAATCCAAGATCCTCAGTCGTATGTATTGGTAATCTTTATAGAATGTACGAGTATTGAGGGTTCTGAGATTGAATAGATCGTTAGGAGTGAAACTGTAGTGATAGTTGCCGAGAGCTGGAATGATAGGGAGATGATATATACCTAGGGATGCATGAAATTTGGGAGACCAAGGCAAGATTTCGGAATTGGTGAATAAGCTCTATCCACCCCATTAATTTGATGTAGCTGTCATTCATAGTGTTGATTTCGCAATAGAAGGGGAAGAGACTGGCACTGATGAAGGTTTTGTATACAATAGAAATTATTTCCTAGGAGTGCAATTTTAAATCTTTACAACGCACTACTTTTCTAGTTAATTCATACATGGATTCATATTCTATATGATGTTTTCTTCCAAGTAATTGAATCATTTTCTTGAGGGACTTATAAAATATAGTTTCCAGAGCATCTTCCACCTGCTTCCTAATTCCGATTTCGGAGTACCTGGATTCATATAATAATCGCTAGAGGATAAAGGATATTTTGCGATCAAGTTCACTTTCTCTTTTGGACAATCCTATGATGTCCAATAGAAGGTTATCTTGGGGATCCTTCTTTTTGAAGAAGATATATTCATACGACTTCACATTGAATTGAGGAACTTAAAGCAAGAAAGGTTTTTTAGTAAAATAGGCGAATTTCGCACAGTAATGCAAATCGGTTGCGTGATCGGCCACGATGTATTGAACATCACTGACCTCACTCTCGCGGTAATCTTCTGCTCCTATTCCCATTCCAAAAATTTAGTAATCATTGACATTCCCATCCAGATCCCAGCTCTTGGGGATCCGTATGACCAATTGATTTGTTTCTAACCATTGTCCTTGATTTTCTGATATCTCAGAATAGAGCATCAGTGGGTATTCCAAGGTTAAAGGAAAGTGCATCAATATTATTATTTTATAATTCAATTCACTTTTGTCACACTCTTAAAGGGAATGAACAACTTCTAGTGGACAATTAAATAAACCAGGAAGTGACCTGTCCCATACACGAAACCTGTGAGAAGGGGATACAGTACAAGACATGATTCTCATCCTTTTTCTCAGAAATCAGGTCCCTAAAGTTCATTAATTATTTTATTTTGTGATGTTGAAGATTAAGTTTAAACTTGTTTAGAAGAACTGGATTACGCTACTCCAAACCTTGTATGCTCTTTTCTCAAGACAAAGAACCCCCCAAAGGTATTTCTACTCCTTTTAACTTTCAGGTTTCCAAAAATTTTAAAGAAAATCCAAAATATAGCAAGAAGAATCCACTTAACCTAAAGAAGAAAAGAAGGCCACTGAAAAACCCAATTAAGAGGAAGCAGAGAAGATCATCAAGGATGAATAATCAGAAGGTGATCTACCCCCAAAAAGTACACTTGTTTGCATATATTGTGATAGTCGAAAAACCATAGAAAAAGAAGTACCAATTTACTTATGATCCCAAATCCTTTAACCCTTAGGACGAGAATCAGAAGAAGGAGAAGCAGTAATCAGATTAAGAGGAGAAGGTGGACAAGTAGGAGAATCAAGAAGAAAAACAAGAAAAATAGGAAAATTAAGAAGAAGAATAATAATAACAATCACAGTAATAAGAGAAGAAAAAATCTTAATTCCCATAAATTGATTTTAGCAAATTCACAGAGTACTTAAAGAATCCAAATAATCGCAATTATATTTACATGTTTCTAGGTGTTACTGGATTAGCCTCACTTTACACATATTTGAATATGGAAGAAGAAATAACTTATACTGAGTTTCTAAAGAATTACTTAGAAACTAATCAAGTCAGTTCAATCAAAGTGTATAATAATGATAATAGCAAAATTAATTAAGCTTCAATCATTACAAATAGAGGAGAATCTAAAAAGTTAATTCTAGGAAATGTAGATCACTTCTTAGAAAATCTAGAACGCTATTAAACCGAAAAAGGAGTCTATCCAGAGCAATTCATTCCTGTCTCCTTTGAGATCTAAGTAGACAAAGCAAATATGATTGATAGAGCAACGAGATTGTTGAAGTAGGGATTTTCGGTTTTTCTCGTCTTTTATATCTTCAAAACCAACTCAAAGGTAGTATTGGAAGTCTTGGAAAAGGTGGAGGAAATGATGTATTTGGCTTTGGTAAATCAAATGTAAAATAATTTGGATTTGAATAAAATGTAAAGGTCAAATTTAATGATGTGGCTGGATTGGATGAAGCTAAATTAGAAATCAAAGAATTTGTAGACTTCCTCAAGAAACCAAGAAAATTTAAAGAAATGGGAGCTAAACTACCAAGAGGAGCTTTATTGGCCGGACCTCCAGGAACTGGTAAAACTATGGTGGCAAAAGCTTGTGCAGGTGAGGCTGGTGTTCCATTCTTTTTTGTGAGTGGATCTGATTTCGTAGAGATGTTTGTAGGAGTTGGTGCAAGCAGAGTCAGAGATCTATTCAAATAAGCCAAAGCAAAGTCTCCTAGTATTATTTTTATTGATGAAATCGATGCAGTTGGTAGAAAGAGAAATGCTAAAATTGGTGGTAATGATGAAAGAGATAATACATTGAATTAATTGTTAGTTGAAATGGATGGATTTGGAACTGATACTAATGTTATTGTTTTGGCAGCCACTAACAGAAAAGAATTACTTGATCCAGCACTCACTAGACCTGGTAGATTTGATAGATCAATAGATATCACATTGCCAGATATTGAAGGTAGAAAACAAATCTTCATGGTTCATTTGGCTCCAATTAAGTTGGATCCCTCTAAGACTATGGAAGAATATGCAAGAAGATTGGCAACTCTAACTCCAGGATTCAGTGGAGCTGAAATTGCCAATCTTTGTAATGAAGCTGCTATTATGGCAGCTAGAGCTAATAAGACATATGTGGACTCTCATGATTTTGAGATGGCATCAGAAAGAGTCATGGCTGGTTTAGAGAAGAGAAGAATCATAAGTGAAGAGGAAAGAAAGACAGTTGCATTTCATGAATCTGGACATGCTGTGGCCAGTTGGTTCTTAAAGGGAGGACATCCACTTCTTAAATTAACTATCATTCCTAGAAGCAAGGGCTCATTAGGATATGCTTAATATTTACCTAATGAATCCAGTCTAGAGACCAAACAAGAATTATTGGATAGAATCTGTTGCATTTTGGGAGGAAGAGTGGCTGAAGAGATTTTCTTTGGGTAAGTCACTACTGGAGCTTATGATGATTTAAAGAAGGCTTATGATGTAGCTCACAGCATAGTGACTAAGTTTGGTATGAATGAGAACATTGGGTATGTAGGATTTCAGGAGGGAGAGTTCTAGAAACCTTATAGTGATGGCACTAATAAGTAGATCGATGATGAAATTAGAAAGCTTATTGAAGAGCAGACCTAAAGAACTAGGTTATTGATCACTGAGAAAAAGGAGTTTGTTAATAAGTATCTTGTTTGAGTAGCATTTTAGATTGGCTTCAACTTTGTTGGAGAAGGAGACTCTCGACTTGCAAAAAATAATTGAAGTTTTGGGAGAAAGACCATTTCCACCGAAATCAAATTATAAGGCTTACTTGGAAATCAAAAAGGAGGATCAGCAAACAACTTCTTAATGAATTATATATTTTATGTATTTTTGAATAGAATTTATCGGATTCTAGACCTGTCACGGGTATTTTTAATTATATAATTTTTGGGGATTTAAAACAGTTGTATCTTTTAAATCAATCAGGATTAAAGCAGAACAAGTTAGGTGTGAGCTGAAATTATTAAATTAAATTATCTTATCATTGGATGATACGTTCAAGGAAGCATTCCAAACAAACCAAAAAGTCTAAGGACTCTGATGATTTCACTGAGCCTCATTCAAAATTATTACTAGAACGTTTCCCCTACACAACAAAAGATTTTTAACTGAAAGACGTTCCTGTACTAACCATTGATCAGAGCTTTTTCGCTGATCCCTTCAAAACTATAGATGATCTCTACGCAAAAGGTTATGAAAAATTTGGAATTGTCAAACTTATTCTCCCTCCAGATTTGGTGGTTCCGAACAAGAAATTCTTTTCCCTGCTGGAGTCTAAACTCAAAGGTAAGAGATTGCAAACTCGTATCCAAACACTGAACACCCAAAGAGCTGGAGAGGTACTTTGATTTATTAGCCTAGATATTTGGTTCAAACTCCACAGGATTTACCGTATAGGAGTACATGAACCTTGCAAATAAGTTCGAGTGCAGTCATAAATTGCAAGGAGTGAGGGAGGTTTCCAATCAGATTCGATAGAATGAAATAGAGTTCTGGTCAATTGTTGATTATCCGACGAAATATGACGATGTCGAAGTGGAATACGCTGCAGATCTTCTGGCAACCAAATATGCCACTGGATTTCAGGAGGGTTAGTTGGGCAATCTCAGCGGAATAAACAAAAATAGGAATTCGATATTCTAGGTTCTTCAAGAGAAGAATGAAATGAGTGGAATCTCAGTGCCTTGGTTGTACTTGGGCATGAAGTATGCTAATTTCTGTTGGCATAAGGAGGATCTTAATTTAAATTCAATGAATTATATGCATGCCGGTGCTGCAAAGACATGGTAATCTATTTGATTAATTCATCTTCTAGGTATGCTATCCCGCCCAGTTACAGCGATAAGTTTCTTCAATACTTCAACAAAGCATTTGAGAACGAAAGGAAGGAGAACCCCCGCTTATTGTACGACATCACATGTCAAATCTCACCTGTAGAACTGGCTGAGAATGGAATCCCAATTCTAAGGACTGATCAACAACCAGGCGAACTAATCTTAACATTGGGGGCTACCTACCATGCAGGTTTTTCTCATGGTATTTTATTTAAATAAAAATTAGGGCTCAATTGCAGTGAGGCTGTCAATGTAGCTCCCACTCAATGGCTCAAAGAGTTCGATAGAGCAACCCAGGAATACCGTATGGATGGGAATTTAAAGAAGGTAATTTGACTGGGTGATTATTTCTGTAGGTGAGTTTCCCCTTGGAGTGGTTGCTCTGCAAGGTGGCTTTGATGGTTGATGAGATAAGGTTTACTAAATAATCGTGGTAAAAGGTACATTTTTTAAATTACTTCTAAGTTATTTGAGAAATTCAAACAAATGATAGATTAAGAAATTAACAATCGCAAGTGCATACTGAGTTTGTATGATCGTGTTAAGACCATTGAGTTTGTTAATAAGTTGGAGAAGTATGATCGTAGTGTCTGCAAAATCTGCTCTAATTATATGTTCTTAAGTTACATTTTTTGTGGGAAGTATTAAATTCCTAAATCCTCAATAGGTGTATAAAGAAGGGATGTATTTGTCACCAAAGCATTTGTGCTTGTGCTGCTCCGTAAGTATCGCTCTATATTCGATACAATAATGAGGAACTGTATGCGATGCTAGCTACATTAGAGTCCAAGATCAAAACAACGGGGTCGTGATTAAAATACTTTACATATTATTTTATATATATTTTAACAGAAAGTAGTGAATAAAAATTAACAATAAAAAAAATAACAAATTGCCTGCGCATGTCTGAAATCGATATCACCTCTCAAGAGAATACTCTCGAACTCCCCAAATTTGAGGAAAGCCTCCCCGACATTAAACCTGAACCTCGCAAAGATCTCAAGTATGAAATCAAGCATGAACCTAAACCTTCATTTGGCCAATCATCCAAAGACCTCATCGAATAATACAAAAGTAAATTTAATGCCTTCAAACAATTGGCTGAAGATTAACAACCTATGGACAATGGAACCATCTGTTATTGAAAAGTCAGAAAAATCTGACATTTGGAGAAGCGATGCTGAAATTCTCAAATCCCCCAAAGAATGGGATTGGAATATTTTGGGATCCAAAAAGGCTTCAACCACCTGTAACCAAATTCAATTTGATTCTCATGTACCAGATCCTATTGTTTCTGAATAAGAACACAAGGCTTAAATTGCCTAACATAGACAAATGATTTTGGGTGTTTTGGATCAAAGAATTGAACCTGGCCTTAAATTGCCATCATCTCACTAGCCTCAAAAGCCAGTTGTCAATGAATAACATTCCAATTATTAAAATATTTTGGAAAAATTCAGAAGTGCTTCATCCTTAGATGATTTGACAACCTTCTTTAACACAGTTCAATAAAGAAAAGTGGTTGAACATGCTGCCCCTCAATAATAATAATAACAATAATAGTAGGAAGATCTGTTCTCTAATCTTGAAATACGAAGAAATAAAAAGGCTGAAACCCAAATTCAATAATACAAAACTCCGAGCAAGTCATAAGATGAAATCTTTGAATATGGATCAGGAAATAGAACAACTTCCTTCTTCTAAAAGAAACCTTCAGCTCAAAAGTAGCCACTCTAAAGTCCAAGTTTGGGTAATCAATTCAACTACAGACCTGACTAATCAGTAACCTCAAAGGTGACTTAGAAATATGAATTTCCAAGTGGAAGTGAAGGATCATAGCAAGACGAGTAAGAGAAAAGGAAGAACTCTAAAGTTTTATGGGTAAACTGGGTTTAGGTAAATACGACACTCCAAAAGTGGTGATCAATTTAGAGAGCAATACTTAGAGTAGTAAGTTATTTGTAAAATATTTGTAGATTCCACCATAGACAGAATGAGACAGTATGTAAATGGAACTCCAATGAGTGCAAGAAAGAGTGGAGGAGGTTTGAGTGATTTGATAAATGAGCGCTCTTTGAATACTACAACATTTAAATAGCAAATAAAATCATATCACAAATCTGGACAAAAGCCAGATTAATCAGGAAGATTGAGTGCGGACAATCAAAACTTGTCAGAATAATCACTTAAAAATTTGCATCTGAAATTGGTTCATCAATAGAAGAATGGAATCGGAAGTTCGGGATTAAAATACGCTAGATGTTGATTTAATATACTTTTATATATCGAATTATCTATAGATCTAATATATAATTAAAGTCAACAGCAAAGATCTTCTTGCTTCTTCTTCTCTTGTTGTTATTGCTACTATCTATTTTGCAGTCTTAAATTAGAGGTCTTCCTCACCACAGCTCTTGTGTTGTGAAGTTCTCGATTTAATATGTTTTTGGTGATATGTGTGAAGGCAGCCTCAATGTTGGTAGACGATTTTGCGCTGGTCTCATAAAATGGAATTTAATATAATCTTGCTAAATTTATTATTATTTGGGCACATTACATAATTCTAGTCCTTCCTCATAAGATACTTCTCTGCGCTCAGTGATGTCCGCTTTATTGCCAACTAGTAATCTATTTACTGATTCTGAAGCATATCTAAGAGTCGTTTAAAGAAATACTTGTCGATTTCTGCCATCCAAGTTTTCACATTTTCAAAGGACTCTCGATCAGTGATATCATATACGATAATGATCCCTTGAGCCCCTCTATAATAACTACATGTGATTGTTCTGAATCGATCTTGACCTGCAGTATCCCACTAAGATTATGAAATGATTAGATACTATTTGCAGTTTAACATTGTGTTCTCCCAAGGCAATAGTTTTAGTTTTGAAATCGACTCCTATTGTGTTGTAAAAATTGTTTGTGAATTAGTTTTCCTTGAGATTATGAGAAATAGTACAGAATAACGCATAAGCAGTACATGATTTGCCCACACCGGAATTTCCAATCAATAATACTTTGAATAGGAAATGACTACGTAAATTATAAAAGAAATCTTACTAATCAGAGTTGGAGTTCATTTATATTTCAAATATTTATTTATTACGGTTAATAATTAAATAAATAATGCGTAAGTTTATTTCAGCATTTGGATTTAGTAACACAATTGGATTCATTGGTTTGGGCAATATGGGAGTATCACTATAATATATGATCAATATAGATTGGTATGGCTCATAATCTAGCCAAGACTCGAGTCGTTTACGCATATGATGCCAGTCCAGCATGGCAATCCAAAATTGAATCATCCAATATTAAACCTGTGTCTCAGGTAGCTGATGTCGCTGCAAATGCAGACACAATCATTACTATGTTGCCAAATGACAAGATAGTCAAAAGTGTAGCCTAGGAGATCTTCAAGAAGTAAAAGAAGACATTGATTGATTCATCCACAATCTCACCCTATGCTTCCTATGAATTGGCTAAAATGGCTTAAGATACCAAAAACATATACACTGATGCTCCAGTCTCTGGTGGTGTTGGTGGTGCTAAATTGGGAACACTGACATTCATGGTTGGAGCAGAGAAGGAATTATATGAAAAAGTGTCTCCAATTCTCAAAGAAATGGGAAAAAATATCTTCCATTGTGGAAAGATTGGAGGAGGACAAATTGCTAAGATGTGCAACAATATGGCTTTGGCAATCCAAATGATAAGCGTTGCTGAAGCTTTGGCCTTGGGAAAGAACATGGGAATGGATCCAGCCATGTTGAGTTCCATAATGTCAGTCAGCTCTTCAAGATGCTGGTCTGTGGATACATATAATCCAGCACCAGGAGTCATGCCTAATGTTCCTAGTTCCAAAGATTACGATGGAGGTTTCATGGTTGAGTTGATGCTCAAGGATCTTGGAATTGCTATCGAAGCATCCAAGAAAAGTGGAACTGATACATAATTAGGACAGCATGCTTAATAGATCTATAATAAATTGAATGAACATTTTGGAAAGAAAGATTTTGCAATTGTCTACAAAGAATTAATCAAAAATAAATGATATAGAAATAAATGATACAATACATATGTATAAATGAATCATAAGTCGTCTCTTTTATCATTACTTACAGTTTCCCATTTAGCATCATCTGTATTTACTTTTTCCCATTTAGTTCCATCATCACTTTGAGGTGGTTCTGATGATGCTTCTGGTTCTTCTTCGATTTCTACTTCAAATTCTTTGACTGGAGCATCTTCTATCAATACCCAAAGCAGAATTAAATAATTTATAGAATCTACTAGCAAACTTCTCAGGATTTGGAATTGAGTAACCTAAAATTAGAATATTCTAATACCTGAATTGACTAAAGCAGCTTCATACAAAACCTTAGCCATTTCCTCAGTTTCTTAATCTGGATCATCTTTCACTCTTTATAATAATTCTTAAATGGCTTAGTGATTTGGATTGATTTCTACGATCTTCTTACCGAATTATTGGGAACCAGCTTTACTTGAATAAGCTTGAGCCTTTGATATTCTTTCCATATTTGCAGAGTATCCTGATTCAGAAGAAACTACAATGATTGGATCATCAATTAATCTTTAAGAAATGATAACTGAATCAACATTTTCTGATAATAATTTTCTCCACCAATCAGTCAATGGTTAGAATACTTTCTTCAAAGCCTTTTATTTCTTTCTTTGTTCATCATTATCTTCTGGTTATTTGAAATCACCTTTTCCAACATTAGTTAATTTCTTTTATTTGTATTCATTCAAATGTTAAAATGTGAATTCATCAACTGGATCTTCCAATAAAAGTACTTCATATCCTTTCTTCAATAATCCTTAGATAATTGGTGAAGAAAGTAATTGTTCCTTGTTCTCACCAGCTAAGTAATAGATTGAGTCTTATCCTGGTTTAGCTCTTTCAATGTAATCATCAAATGATGTCAATTCAGTTGCATTCTTGCTTGAGTACCATCTAATGATATAAAATATTAATGTACCTTGTCAATTCAGCCAATTTCTATCTATTTGAGGAATCTTCAATAACACCCCAATTTGATATTCTTTCCATACTCTTTCCAGAATTCATTATACTCATCTATCTTCTTCTTTCTCTTCTCATCCTTCAATCTTTGTTATTCTTCAGGTGTTGTCTCTGCCATGCTGTCATCCTCTTCACCTTCTTCAGTATCTTCCTCATCTTCATCATCATAAGAAGCAGCATCTTAGAATAATTCTAAGATCTTCTTAACAATCTTTCTACTGATAACCTTTAACATCTTAAGTTATTAAAGTGTTTCTCTGTTGACATTCAATGGCAATTCATCTGAATCAATAACACCCTTGACAAAACTCAAATATCTTGGAAGTATATCTTCGAATTCTTCACTGATTAAGACTCTTCTTCACATACAATTTCAAACTTGTAGTTTATTTACCATAATAATTATCAAACATATCACTTGGTGCTCTTTTAGGGATATAAATAAGAGATGTAAATTCGACTTCTCCTTCAGCTTTGAAATGCACCCAATTGAAAGGATCTTCACCAGAGTTCTTTGATAAGACTTTATAGAATTTCTTGTAATCATCATCAGAGATCTCCTCCTTTGGTCTCAACCAAATAGCTTTGTTCTCATTGATCTAAACCCACTCAGACACTTTCTCCTTAATTGTCTTAGTAGCTTTCTTGTTTGTATCTGGCATCATCATCATCATCCTTAACCTTTACTTCATCATCATCTGTATTCTCTTATTGATCCTATTATTATTCTGGTTCTTCCTCGACTTATTTTGAGACTTCCCTAGTGACCTTCAAATAGATGGGGAAATTGATAAATTCAGAATATTTTTTGATTAATTCTTTAATTGTGCTTTCCTCTGCAAATTCAACGGCATCTTATTTCAAATGAATAGTGACTTGAGTACCACGTCCTAAGGTATTACCTCTTGGATCTTTTGATACTGCAAATGAATGGGCAGCTTGAGATTCCCAAATGTATTAATCATCATCTGTATTTTTTGATGCAACTGTGACCTTTTAACCTGCCAAGAAACATGAATAAAAACCAACACCAAATTAACCAATCAAGTTAACATTGCCTCCCTTGATTGCTTCAATGAATTAAGTGGTTCCTGATTTTGCAATTGTACCCAAATTTGATATTAAATCATTCTTTGACATACCAATACCACTATCTGTGACAGAAACTGACTTCTCTTCTGTGTTTATTTCAATTCTAATAGCCAATTCAGTTTTATCTCCCAGAATTTCTGGATTCTTTACACTCAAAAATCGAATTTTATCAAGTGCATCAGCAGCATTCGAAATTAACTCTCTGAGAAAGATTTCCTTTTGTGTATAAAGAGAATTGATTAGGATATCCATCAACCT